AAGGGGAGAGGGGAAGAAACGAGGCGATAAGCCAGCAGGGCCCGTAGGCCTGGGGTGTGCCAGGGACTGGTTTTGTGTCCTGAGAGCCAAGGGGACCTGAGGGGGTTTGATCAGGGAGCCGGGGATAAAATAGGAGATGCTCAAGTCTGCCCTGTAAGATTATCCTCCAAGGCTCAGCTCTCTCATTGGTAATGGTGTCTTCGCCACGGGGTGAGGATTAAATGAGCCCACGTGAGTCTGAGCTTACCCTCCAGCCCAGGTCCTGCCTCCCCAGGGCCCCGGCCCCAGCCCAAGGGGTGGGCTGCCCTCACCATCCCCCATCCTGGGAGTCAGCCCCGAGGAGCACGTCTGCTCCCCTGCTCTAGTGCTCTGCCCGGGCACTTCTACCATTCGGGCCCTTCCTCCATTAAAAAAAAAAAATATTCAAGTTAGAGTCTATTGTTGGCATAAAGACAAATATATTAACATATATTAAAACATTTTCTTCAACTTAAAATTTTTTTATGATTTTGAAAGAAATTACAACATTTTTGTGGGTTCCTAAAAGTATCGTGGGCCCAAAGACACACGCCTGGGTCCTCAGAGTGGGGGGTTCTTCTTCCGATGAGGCGATGCCGTCCGGGGCCGGGGGTGGGGGGAGGGCAACCGGAAGATGAAGAGGTGCCTGTGTGCTCCAGAGCCTCCCTCTGCTCCCCTCAATTCTGTCTCCTCCCAGGCCAGTTCCTACAGCCCCTTTGGTCTTTGCTCCAGCCGACCTTGACCTTCCCCGGCCTAAACACACCCTGGCTCCTCATCCCTCCTGGGAAATGCTCCGACCTGCTAGACCCTTTCACGTCTTGCCCTTGCCCTTGCCCATGCTGTGCCCCTCCCCACACGCCTTTCCTTCTTTTCTTTGAGGGCATGCAGCCTCCCTCAAGCCCCAGCGTACGGGCCACCTCCTCCATGAAGCCTGCCAATCTCCAGGCTGTACCAGCTCGTGGACCTCCCTCCCTATGGCATTTTCTTCCTCCCTCCCTTCCCAGGACTCGGAGATCCCCTCCTCCCAAGGACTTCATCCGGTTCATCTTTGTATGTTTGGTGGCACCTGGTATATAGTTGGCACCCAATTAAAATGTTTGGGATAGAGAAAGAAGGCGTGGGCTGGGTTTGCCTTGGCCCTGGGGCCTCCTCCGACCTGTAGTGACAGTGGCCAAACATTCTCTCATTCACTGGGTAGTGGCCGCATGCCAGCCCCTGAACCGAGTCGGGAGCTGAGGCCCAGACGGGGGAGCAACTCCACCCTGCCCACGGGGACAGCAAGTGCTAGGGGTGGCAGAGGGTCTGGGTCCCCCCCAGAGAAGGTGCACAGGACCTAAGAAGGCGTGGAGTGGGCAGAGGGCAACATGGGGGGTCGGGGGAGTACACCGCATGAGCAGTAAGTGTGGGGGCAGGGAAGAAGGGGTGGCAGAATGTAGGGGAGCCTGGGAGTGAGTCCCCCAGGGCCTGTAGCCCCTGGCCTGGTGGGCCACCATCAGGGGACAGATAACTTGGCAGTGACTGGCGGAGAGGGGTGCAGACCTCATTTCCACCCCAAGGTCACAGGCCCGGCACTGAGGCTCAGAGCCAGTTAATCGAGTCTAGTAGAGCGTGACACAGTCACGTCACAGGCAGGGACACAGCTGGGCTGGCCCGCCTCGCACTGGGGGACAGACAGGCGTATTCAGATGGCAGTTTTCCGACCAAGCACCCCCAGCCCCCAAGGTGCACCCTCTGTCTCAGGAACCTACACCCTCCCAAAGTCTCATGCCCCTCCCCAGGCCCCCAAGGCGAGGCCTCTCCCCAGCTCACCCAGCCCCTTACGAGCTCAAAGACCCCTGCTTTGCTGGGGAAGATTTGGGTCCCTTAGGTGGGGCGGGGTCAGGAGCCTCGGCTTGGGCCGGAATCCAGTGCTCGCCCCCATATCGTGCGGCTGCTCAACCATCGCCATGTCTCAGGTGCCAGGAACCCTTTCAGACACAGGAGGGAGCAGAGGTGAAGAAAATGGGTGCTGACCACCAGCCGTCCCATTCAAGCCCCTTGCCCCACTCCCCGATCAGTCTGTGGGCCTCGGTCTCCTCGTCTGAGAAATGGGCTAATGACCAGTTGCAATTTAGAGCCTCAAACCAAACTGAAGGGAGCGTGGGAGGGCAGACAGCTGAAGGGGCAGGAGCGAGAGACTCAAGGGCAGCATTAGGGGTTCGGTGACATGGGAAGAGCCAGCCCGGGCCTGGGAAGCAGGAAGGCCTGACACTACCTGGCTTCGGATGAGAGGCTGGGTGGCTCACCCAAGGGGTGGCCTGTTGGTGTCTTTAGCACGGCTCTCCTTTCTCGGTGTCCTCCCTAAGCCTCCGGGCCATTCACCCAGGCAGCCCGGCCCAGCCATGAGCACCTTGGACAGCCTTATGGGGGTGCCGTGTGGCCAGGCATCCAGGCTCCATGGGGAGAGGGCCAGACAGGGGCCCAAGGAAAAGAGCGTGGGAAGAACTGGGTCCAGGCCCCTGGATCGCTGCCCTTCCCCCGGAGCCCCTGCGCATGGGACTGCCGGGTGTCGTGTGGGCTGGGGGCAGGGGACACTGTAGACCCGCCTCCTGAGACACCCACTGAACTGCGAATAGGCCCATGACCAGGTCCTCTGTGCAGCCCAAGTCTGAGCCCCAGTGCCAGCCCCACCTGTGACAGGTAAAGCCACCACCTGGCCACCTGGCCGGCCCTTCCCCCAGCTCAGCCTGGTGAAATCCTTGCTCTGCCCTAGGCCCACCTCCTTGGCCTCTGGATGTTCCTGGCCTGGTGGACATCAGACAGTTCACCCTAGTCTCCTCACCTGGGCAGGGCCACACACGGTGGGGTTTAGGGGATGCCGATGCCGGGCAGGTAGGGGCTTGGCATCTCCTTCCAACAGGGGCCTGCAGAGCAGCAGGTCACTGCCCCCTCCTCTCCCACCCCTTCGAGGCTAGCTGCCAACCCTTCTGGCTCTGAGCCCTCTGAGCGGGAGCCAGCTCGTTTGTGGCCAGTGTTAATTAAGAGAGAGAGGTGATGGGGGAGACAGGGAAGGGCCATGGAGGGCAGCTCCCAACAGCCGCCAGGACCATCCTGAGCACTATAGGGGCTGGGAGCTGGACCCAGGCGACCTGAGATGCCCAGCCTCCCCTACTGGCCCCTGGGCAGGGCTGTCCAGATGTCCTGACCCTCAGCTCTGCAGCCTGACCTGCTGGGATGGAGGCAGGGCCTACTGTGCGCTCTGCTCTGCCCGTGTGTGGAGGGTCCCAGCCCCAGTCGGGGGGAAAGCCCCCCTGTGAGAGTCCCTTGGGCCGCCTGCCTTGAGGTCAGCCTACTTTCAGGCTGGGCTTCGAGTCGGACAGACCTAGTTCCAATCCTGCTGTTGCTACGTGCAGCTCGACCTCTGAGCCTGGTTTCCTCATCGATAAAGTGGGAGCAATAGCTCTTCCTGTGTGGCTTAGATAGTGAACAGGCTCATTTGTGTGAAGCACTCAGTCTCTGCCTGGCAAACGGCCCTCGCTCTGTCATTGAAATGTGCGTTCCTGAGGCAGAGGCCACAGCCAGGGCCTTTGCAGGCCCAGCCCCTCCGCAGCCTGAGCGTCTGCCTGGGTGTCCCGCTGTGGTCTCTCTCCTGCTCTTGTTCAGATCGGGCTCCGGCTGCCTCGAGTTCCCTGCAGCCCCCCAACCCTGCTCTGGGAGAGCCCAGCCGCTCCTAGCCTCTCCATCTTAATTAGCTGCTTGTATTAATCTTGCAAGTAACGTGGCAACTTGCAGCCCTGGGTTTTCGGGCTGTGGAATTAATTATTCCCCAAGCGAAGAACTGTCAGCTCTGGGAGACCAGCCACTCGGAGCCGCCGACACCACTTAGCAGTGTCCGAAGCTTCCGCATGGCACCCGGGGCCCCCAGCTGGAAACGGCCCCCACCCCTGGCCCTGTGTGACCCCCTCATACAGAGGGGCTGCAACACGACTGGGGAGGGAGGGTGGGTACTGGAGCCGAAGGCCCTGCCTGGGCACAGCTGGTCTCCCCACCTGGGCGGCACCTGGGCCTGGGGATGACCTGTCCTGTCTCGCTGTCACCTGCCTGATTATCACCAGCGGTTAACACAGATGCAGCTGTGTGGCCAGAGCTGAGTCCCCAGCTGGGGAGGGGACGCTGACCTGCACAGCCCTGACATTTTGGCAGAGAGGCTGTCAGCTTTACTTTGCCCCCGCGTCAGCCCTGTGGAGAGGCAGGAAGGGACAGCCAGCCAAGCAGAGCAAGTTGGACAGGGCGGCCACAGCGGCTGGCCTGCTCTCATTGAGGGAGGGGGCAGGGGCCGGAGCTGAGGATCCTTCTTCCTTGACCCTCATGCCAGCCCTCTAAGGTGGCCTATCCTCCCTGGGGAGACTGAGGCACGGAGCAGTGTGGCTCAAGTCACCCATCCGTTGAAGCCGGCTTAGGGTCCAGGCCCAGTGCTCCGGGCCCTCCCACCGCATGTGGTCAGGCGCCCAGCCCTGGGTCACGGTCCCGTGCCCTCATCCCGCTCACACTCCTTCCCCAGGCAGCACTTACCGCGGCCCTCTGTTTCCAAGTGGCTTCGAGTCTGGGTCCCTCTGCAGCCTGTGAGTCCCAAGGGCAGGAACCAGGGCTGCTCTGTTCACCCCACATCTCTGCACCAGGCCCGGCGCAGATGGGCCTCAGGTGACACTGCGGGGTGAGAGGGTGACTGCATGAAAAGACGGGTGTGGCTGCGGCCACCTGCCCCTCTAGACCCCAGACGCAGGTGCTTCCGGGATGAGCCGGCAGGACCCTGGCGGCTCCCTGGCCCGCCCTCATCACCACACAAACCCCAGTCCCGTCGGCCCCGGTGGGAGGGGAAATCCCAGCCCCGCCCCACCACCCCCTTATCCGCCCCTGTGCCCAGAGTCTGAAGGCCCAGCTGGCAGCCCCCCACGTCCCCTCCATACAACCCCCACCTGACCAGCCTTTTCTCTCTCTTGCAGCCAACAGCTCCCTGCTCGGAGGCGGAGGCGGTGAGTGGACCCTTCCCGCGGTCGGGGGTGTGGGCGCGGGGTGAGGTGGGCAGTGCTTCTCCTTCCGCGGCTGCTTCTCTCCCCCTGGTCCCCTCGCCTGCTGTGCCCAGCTCGCTGCCGCCCCTCACTGCCACAGCCCTTCTCGTCCCCCCGACAGTGCCCCCCATTTCTCCATCTCTGCCCTTCATTTCCGGCCCCCCACCCTCTCGGCCTGGCCTGGGCTGCCATCACTGTAGACAAAGCGGGGCGTCTGGGTGGCAGGCCCGGCTTTCTCACCACTGGGTGACCCGGGCAGGTACCTGTCCTCTGAGCAGAAGCCTCCTGGTCTGTAACTGGGGGGCAGGGGACATGTGAAGCTTAAAAGGGCCCCAGCCAGGGACTGGATAGGCCACGGGTCTGGTGAGAACAGCCCGGCCCTGCCCTTGACTTTCACGTGCACTTGGCATGTCCTGTGCCCCTTTGGCTCAGTTTCCCCACCTATGAGGGCAAAATCATTGTCTCTGCCCCGGAACTTCGCAGGGCGGGCCAGGCCCAGGCCTCGGAAAGTCGGGGAGAGCTCTGTCCACTGCAGGGCCCTCGGCAATGTTCACGTTCACACCGTTAACAACCACTATAAGGCAGAGGGGTTCCAGCAAGGCCGGGCAGGCAGGAGGTCAGAGGTCGGGGGGCGGCTTCGCAGCAGGCCAGAGCCAGCCAGAACGTGGTACGCAGTCCCTATGCCCCAAGGCCACCTCCCCTAGCTGGCCCTGCTCGGGCCCCATGGACCCCTCGCCCCCGGCCCCTGGGCCTGTCGCTGGCTGGGCTGCCCGCTGTCTGCCTGAGCAGCAGGATGATTGGTGAGACAGGGGGCAGGGGTTAATGCGCCATAGGATAAATCCCGGGGGCCGTGTTTACGGTGGCGGTGGCGGGGTCCAGGCCAGGTTTTAAAAGGGGGAAAAATAAAAGGGGCCGCGAAGGTCAGGAATAAATAAGAACAGCACTAAGAGCCGTCTGTGACCTGCCGGGATGCGGCGGGAGGGGCACGTTTGTGGCTGGGGATGTTTTCCCTCCCGCCCTCCCTGCCCGCTTCTCAGCGTCTCCTCCAGCCGTCCCTGTGGGGGTCACAGCTACCCCGGAGGCCTCACAGAATGCGGGGGGCTTTGCCGGAGGCCAGGGGCCACAGGTAGGCCATCGAGGATCCTCTTCCAAAGCCTGTTTATTTGGAGGACTCGGGGGCCCTACTGATGTGACACCTGCCGCGGCCTGCCCACAGCCACCCCCCTCCTTCACCGGCTCATTCAGCACCAGTGATGGAGGACCTACTGCGTGCCAGGCCCTGAGCTGGGTGTGGGGACAGATCCGCCAGGCATCAGGGCCGCCTGGTCCCTGCCAGTCTGGATGGGAGCGCCCACCATTACACAGGGTGGTCTGGGGGTACCCGTAGGCATGGTGGGGGCTCAGCAAGGAGCACTTGTTCACGCTTGGGCGCCAAGAAGGCTTTGGAAGGAGGTGGTGCCTCCACTGGGAACTGAGGATGGAGAGGAGAGAGCCGTTAAGGAGCAGTGAGAAGGATGTCTTGGGCAGAGGGAACAGCGCAGGCGAGGCCTGGAGTGAGGGAGAGCAGGGGGCACTCGGGGGGACTCAGAGGAGGGAGGAGCCAGACCCCAGCCAGGAGGAGGGGAGGCAGGAGATGATGCAGAAGCCTGAGACCGTGCGAGGGGCTGGATTCAGTCCCCGAAGACAAAGGATCGCAAAAAGCCGTGGGCCTTCTAAATCCTAAGTCAGGTCACACGCCTCTTCTGCTCAGAGATCTGCTGGGGCTCTCACCTCACTCAGGGCCGAGGCCAAGGTCCACAAGGTCCCCAGCCACCTCTCAGACTCCCCGCCACGCTGCCTGCCCCTTCCCCTCTGTGCGCCAGCCACACGGGCCTTCCTTCCTGGAACAGGCCCGGCCCAGTCCTGCCTCAGGGCCTTTGCACCGGCTGTTCCTGCCGCCCAAAATGGTCTTCCTCAAACAGCCATGTGGCCGCTCCCTTCACCTCCTACAAGTCTTTACCTGCATGCCACCTTCTCCCGAGGCCCACCCTGACACCTAACTGAATTCACAGGTCCCCACCCTGCCTCCCTGGGCCCCTCACGTTGCTAGTTTTCATTTTTGTTAGAACACCCCTCTCCTGACCTGCCATGTAATTTACTTCTTTTCTGTGTTCGTTGTTTATTGCCTGTCTCCCCGCTGAGAACAAAAGCTCCAAGGGCCCCTGGAACTGGGTCCGGCCCGCAGAGCAGGTGCTCAATAAGTGGTTGTTGAATGAATGAATGAACTATAGATAAAGCTAAGAAAAGACTTGCTGACGAGGGCAGTAGGAGCCACTGAGGTTTCAGGCAGGGCAGGGAGTCGCTCGTGGATGGCCTGGTGACCTCACTCTGGGAGGTCTCAGGGCACGTGCTCTGGCCAGACTGAGGGGGCTGGCACCGTGGGGGTCTCTCTAGCTCCTGTTCCTTCGTCATTGAGGGTGAGAGGGGGCTAGAGCAGGCCCCGGGAGCGGCTCGCCTGACGCAGAGATGGATGGGGTGAGCGGGGCCTGGGAGGAAGTGGGCCTGGAGTCCAGCCTTTTCACGCCGGCTGAGATTTATGGAGCTGCCGCAAGTGCTCGCTGGGGCTGTCACTCCGCTAATGTGATTGGAACAAGGCGGAGGTGGTAGGGAGGGGACTGGGATAGGGGCCAGGCTGGGGCCGGAAGGGAGCAGGCCCCAGATCCCCAGGCCATCTCTGCCCTCCTGTCGGCCACCTGTGCCCTGCACCAGCCCCAGTCCGATCTGCCTGCCAGGGTGGGGGGCACAGGCAGGAGTAGCCTGGGACTGGAGGACCCTGGCCCGCACTTGACTCTGCCCAGACGGAGCCCGGCCTTCCCACGCGGGGCCCTGAGTTTCCGCCCAGTGCTTTAAATCGCCAGCCATGCCGCCCTCACCTGCTCTGTGCGCTTTCCACGGCAGCGACCCCCTTTCACAGAGGCGCGTCTCGTGCTCGTTCTCGCTGCCTGTCTCCCCAGCAGCAAGGTTCTGGGAAATGCTGTGGAGCAGTTAGTAGCCTCTCTGTGTGCTGGGCCCAGCCGTGGAAGCTGGGACACAGACCTAACTGCCACCCCCCGCCCTGCCCTTCCAGGCCTGCAGGCTATCTTCCAGCCTGGGGCAGCTATCAGCTCAGAAAGGGGGCCCTCAGAAGCAGGGTGGGACCTGGCCTGCAGGGTTTTGGCGCAGCAAGCCCACCGTTTTTACTGCAAATATGCGGTGGTTGGGGTGGGGGAGGACCGCGGCCTCTGGGGAGCAGAGAAGGGAGTCTGCTGGACACCCTCAACCTCAGCAGAAGCCCCCAGGGGCTGCTGGGGCCAAAAGGACTTAATCCACAGGGCCCGGGGCTCCTGGGCTTGCCTCGCACCGGGGCTGGGCCCCCACCAGGTCCTGGAGCCAAGCTAGGTGATTCTAACAACGGTGAGTCTTGGGGAAGAAGCCCCCTTTGCCCCGTCCCTTCCCAGGGCTCCCTCTGAGTGTGTGCCAATGGTGGAGGGACACCTGTGTCCCACACGGGGACTCCGGACTTGGCTCTGCTTTCGAAGAGACCCGTTTCGGTAGGCTTCCCAGCAGAGGGGGCATTGGACTTGGGCCCTGAAGGATGAATAGGAGCTTGACAGGTGCAGTGGGATGGAGAGGCCCATCACGCAGAGGGCCCAGTGTCAGTGGTAGGGGGGACGTACGGGGCTGGGGCAGCCACTCAGCCTCCACCAAACCCTGAGGTCTGCAGACTGCCAGGGCCACTCCTGCTCCCCCGCCCTCCTGGAGAATCTTTGACTGACTCCATAAAAAATTTTTTTAAAGGCCCTCCTATTGTATGGTGAGAAGGGGGGCGGGCCCTAAATCAGGACGGGAATCGACAGGGCCCTGACGAGTGTCTCTCCTGTTTATTAGGACTGAAATGTTTACTCGGCGATAAGGCGCCGGCTTTCTCGCGAAGATTTGTGCGCTCTTTTTCAATTACCCCTCGTCTTTCTCTGCCACTTTTGCACTAAAGGGATAATAAATGTATTGGAGCGTTTCAATTATTCATCTAAATCATGACTGCGCCTGCCATGGCCAAGCTTTAGTGACAGATTAATTCAGGGCCGCCTTTCTCTGCTCGCGTGGCCACCATCTCCGCTTCCACCTGGCCAGTGCCCCAAAGGGCCGGCCCGAGGAGTGGCAGGGCTGGGGTCAGGCAGGTCCCTGGCAGGCACAGGTGGGCAGGGCAGAATGCAGCCCCGACCCATCCCCCACACACACGCTGCCAACGACACTGCCCCCCTTCCAGAGGTCAGCGGCCCCACCCAAACCTACAGGGGCCAGCGCCTGCCTGTGAGGGCGCAACCCCCTGCCCGCCAGCCCACTGGCCCTGCATAGCCCCCGCTTCCCATGCTGTCATGGCGGTCTCTGTGTGTATCCCATGCACCCCAGCGTCTCAGGCTTCTCGTGGCCCAGGGCCTTTGCACGTGCCGCTGCTGTGCCTGAGGCTCCTCTGCCATCCTACCTGGTTCTCTCAAACTCAGCGCGGCCTCTCAGACCACCCCTCAGCCCTGCTCTATTTACTGAGGACCAGCCACATTCCTGGCACTGTCCTGGGCACCGGGACACAGAAAAATCTGCCCTTCTCGGGCCGGCTTTCTGCCGCCCTTGGCAGTCAGACTCCCGTCTACGTAGTTGTTTCAGTGCCACTGTCCCCCAGCAGGCCACCCCCCGCCCGAGGGGCACGCACAGGCGCCTCTCTGTCCACCTCCTGGCAAAGAGTCCGTGCTCCGTGCAGACCGGTGTGTGAACCGGCTCTGCCCAGCCCCACCTGCCACCCCCAGCCCGGTACCTGCGTGCGTGTGTGCACACGAACCCCCCGCCCCCCCACAGCGGTCCCTCGCCACAGGCGGAAACTGCCACCCTGAGCCACCCTCTCCCTTCCTCACTCAGGCACCCATGACCCTGGGGGGCAGGCAGCACCCTCT